ATGAAATGTTCCCTTGGTATCTCTAATTTTCTTGAAGAGATCTCTAGTCTTTCCCATTCTATTGTTTTCCTCTATTTCTTTGCATTGATCACTGAGGAAGGCTTTCTTATCTCTCCTTGCTATATTATTTGGAACTCTGCATTCAAATGGGTATATCTTTACTTTTCTCCTTTGTCTTTCACTTCTCTTCTTTTCTCAGCTAATTGTAATGCTTCCTCAGACAGCTGTTTTGCCTTTGCATTTCTTTTTCTTGGGGATGGTTAGATAAATTAGATTTCATCAAAATTAAAAGTTTTTGTGCAGTCAAAGGATATTGTCAAAAAAATGAAAATGCAACCCACAGGTTGAGAGAAAATATTTGCAGGTCATATTTGATAAGGGCCTAGTATTCAGAACATAGAAAGAACTCTTATAACTCAGTAACAAAGACAACCCAATTAAAAATGGGCAAAGGATTTGAATTGACATTTTTTCAAGGAAGATATATGAATGACCAAAAAGTACATAAAAAAGGTGCTCAATATCACTCATCATAAGAGAAATAAAAATGAAAAACACAATTTGATACCCCTTCACAAGAGGGGTATAACAACAGTAATAGAACAAAAACGAAAAATTGAAAGTGTTTATGAATAACCAAAATTTGTTACCAAGTTCGACCTTGTAGTGAGTGCTTGCCATATGACAGCCAATAATTGAGCAATGAGTTGTTGGGGCAAGGAATAACAGCTTTATTCTGAAAGCCAGAAAATCAAGAAGATGGTGCATTTATGCTTACAAAGAACTATCTTGCCTAAGTTATAATTCAATCTTCTTTTATACTAAAAGGGGAAGAAGTGAAGTCAAACAAGGTTCCCTTCCACCTCTGGAGGAGTGTGTTAATTTCTTCCTCCCAGGTCGGTCTGGCCAAGATGTTTCCTATGAGCTAAATAAAAGTCTTTTAGCATAATGCTCATTACCTGGGAGGCAGAGTTCTGAGAGTTGGATTATTATGTATAATTTAAGTTTATAGGCAACATCCCTTTAGTGATTAATTTGTAATAGAATAAAAAATGTTCTTCCCTATTACAGAAAGTTTAGGTAAAGATAGGGAAATGTTATGTAAATAGACAGACCCCAAAGAAACTACTTGCTTTACCATTTTACTTAAAATCGCCTTGCTTGCTTTCTTTAAAGCTGTGCCACTGCATATGTTCTACTGGCTGAGGAAGAAGCAACAACTATTGTCGATGCCGAAAGGTTATTTAAGCAGGCACTCAAGGCAGGAGAAACAATTTATAGGCGGTCACAACAGTGCCAGCACCAAAGTCCTCAGCATGAAGCTCAACTGAGTAAGTGAATATGAACTAATTTTCACCTGTCTTTTCGTTCCTGCAGTTGCCTCTTTTATGTGTAAAACACAGAACAACAATAAATTTTAAAAAACTTAATACTTAAAAGTTAGCTGCTCTTCATGAGATATAATAAATCTGTTCAAGTCAGCAAGACAGAAATGTGTATTAGCTAGAGAATGTTTGTGGAAGAGAATAGATCTGCTCTGGTTATTGAGAGATATGCTGCTCTGAAACTTAACAGTAATTTATTTCATGCAAGAATTGGGCTGGTCATTGGAGAAACACAACTCAAAAATATTCAAGATTCAAGAGAACCTTCTAGTAATGATAAACAGCTGTTACTTTTATCCACCCTTACCCAAGCAGTAGTAGAGGTATATGTATCATTTGGTTTGCTCTTCAGGCTGTAAAAATATCTTCATGTAGTGCCAGGGAGTGGCCCTTTAGCACAAAAACCAGACTTACACTTGGTATTGACTCTTTCTTTGGTGGTTTTTTTCTCTACAGTATGTTTGGGATCATACGGGCCATAGCAACTGACATCCTTTCTTTCCACTCTTAGGCATACTCTCCCAGTTGTGATTGAGACAGTTTTACCAAAGATGTTAGGATCTGTAATGTTGTTGCTTCCTGCTATATTGCATGGCCAGAGGGTTTAATTTCATGATTTTGGCAGAGAATGGGCAATAAATTGAAGTATGTTTATATAATGCATTATCTGCTGGGAGTTAAGTTCTAAATCTTTTGTTTGTGGAAATTAAAATTTGGATAATGTTTTCTCTCTAAACTAAATATTGATGTATATAGGATGTTTCATTAATGCATGTTGTTATAACACACAACTGTGGGAATATATAATCTTGTAGTCTGGAACTAATGAAACTACATCTGTAAAAAAGTCATGCCATTTGTCCTTGTATAATCTCAAATTTAGTTATGGGTTAGGTTCAGAAATATTTGTTAGCCCTTTCTAGAAGTAGTTTTTCCCTTGAGCATAAATTTACACTAGTATATAAATTTTGTTTTGAATATCTTTTGTCAGTTAAGATAATAGATAATATTAAAATAGTAGATTGTTTATACAGAAATTTAATAGATTTATGTTATTTCTACCTATTAATGTATGTCTTTTATTTTAATAGTAATATCTACTTACCTAGTGTACACAAGTTACTTTATATATGCTGTACTCAGATTACTTAGAATCAAAAGTAATCGTATATGTATATATATACATATATATATTTTAAGCTTTTAATATAAAAAACTTCACCAAACAGCTATTAAAATAGAGCAATATAATTAACTTTCATTCATTGTTCATTACCCAAATGCAACAATTATTAATATTCTTCCATTCTGACACAATTTAATTTTAATTGAACCTTCCAGGGTGTATAAAATTATTTGCCTTCCAGGCTAATAAAGTTGATAGATAAATATATTAATGAAATAGCTGGTCATAATATAAAAGTGATAGTTTTGGGTCATTTGTTGTTTTTTTTAAATAGGGAGAGATACCAATGTACTGGTGTATATTAAAAGAAGACTGGCAATGTGTGCAAGAAAATTGGGAAGAATAAGAGAGGCAGTAAAAATAATGAGAGATGTAAGTAAATTTGATGACTTAACCTTTATCTTTATTCTTTCAAAACTGAAAATATGTTTTAAGTTGCTGGTTAAGTTAATGCAAAATCACTCTGTGGCTTTTTATTTTGTAACATTTATTTATTGGTGGTACGATATGGCTTGTTGCATCTTAGCTCCCCAACCAGGGATCAAACCTCAGGCCCTAGCAGAGAAAGCGCCAACCACTGGACCACTAGGGAATTCCCCAGAATCTTTTTTTTTAATTGATAGTTTTGTAACAAGATACTTAATATACACAAATTTCTTAGAGGTTGAGTCTCCAAAGTTTTAATAAAGAATTTATACTTCTGTATTGAGTTCATTTGCTATCATTTTAATCTTTTTTTCCTTTTAATATACAGTTAATGAAAGAATTTCCTCCTCTTACCATGTTGAACATCCATGAAAATCTCCTAGAATCACTTTTAGAATTACAAGCCTATGCAGATGTCCAAGCAGTTCTAGCAAAATATGATGGTGAGTGATAATTCTCTTAGTTGATTCTTTACCAGCTGAGCTACCAGGGAAGCCCCTCTTAGTTGATAGCATAGTTAAAGTGGTTTTTTTTTTTTTTTTTTTTTCAATATAAAGTGGTCACAAATGGTATCCTACTCTAGTATTTTGACTTTCTCTTTGCATTCTTTCCAGTCAGTATTTAGAATCTGTGGACACAAGTTGCTGTTAAGTATCTTCTTCTTTTTGTAAATATTTGTTTATTTGGCTCCATCAGGTCTTAGTGGCTGCATGAGGGGTCTTTGTTGCATCACGCCCGTCTTTTGCTGCAGTGCACAGACTCTCCAGCTGTGGTCTGAGGGCTCAGTAGTTGTGCTGCACAGGTTTAGTTGCTTCTTAGCATGTGGAATCTTAGTTCCCTCGCCAGGGGTTGAACCCACGTCCCCTTAAATTGCAAGGCAGATCCTTAACCACTCGACCACCAGGGAAGCCCCTAAGTATCTTCTTTATCAATACTTTTGATAGCGAAAGTCTGCAAGGATAAATTTTCCTTCTGTCAAAGTATATTCATTTGTTTTAGTGCCTGTGTGAGGCACTTGGAATACAGTGGGAAACAAAAATACATGGGCTTAACTCTTATAGGATTTGCAGTTTGGTAGAACATACAGACAAATGAATAATAGTTATACTGAAGCATAGTATGTTAGGTGAGGTAATTGGAAAAGTATGGAGTGCTATACACTTCATTTCTTTTGGAGTGATGGGGAAGGCTAACAGAAGTTGCTTAGCAGTATATATAAGAGTTAACTCAGAACAACATTTTACAATGCTTTTTAGTTACAAAATATAATTTATTATCTTATCTGATGCTTACAACAATCTTGAGAGATGGTAAGACAAGTTTTTTACTATTTCCAGTTAATAAATAAGGAAACTGGAGTTGAAGAAGGCGAAGTAATTGGGTAAGGTTAAGTGGCAAGCCTGAACTTAAATTTAGGTATTCGATTTCTGTACTAGTCTCCCCAAAGTAAAAAGTCATTATATATGGGCTGTTTTTATTATTGCACTGTAACAGTGCCAGTTTATCACAAATGGAGTTGAGATCATTTTTAAGAAGCAGAGTCTTTCTCCTCATTCTGAGTGAGGCATCGGCTTTTAACCTGAAACTGAGAACATCCTAGCTAGCGTAATATTTCTTGTCATATCTTTCACTATATCAGGACACATATAAGTCACTTATTCACACTGTCCTGTTGTAAGCTCCAACCCATTAGCTTAGGAATCCCCGTGACTTAGAAAGTTTGAAATGTATTACACTTGGAAGGAGAAGTTTATTTCTTTTAAACATCTGGAATTCTTAGGAAGTGCTTTAGAGTAGTATAGGCTCATGGAGAAATTTGTGAGAAATTCTTTCCATATGTTACTTATCAGATGTATAGCCTGCTTATGATACGTATGATGAACAAGCTTAAGGACTGAATATGAAAAATCAGAAAGGACCTATTCATTAAAAATAAAATAAAACTAGCAACTTGGATATGCCTCTGTGTTTTCAGTTATTTTTATGAGTCCCCAGTTTTTACTCTTCTAGAGTCCTGAAAAAGTTAAAAGCAAGTTTACTTCTTTAGTTCTCCATTTGCTAGTATAACTCTGGAGTCTGGAAAGAAAGTCCTGTAGTCTTACTCTCCTGATAACATTATATGGGGCATTCTTTAAGATAATTTCATTATAGTTCTCAATTTCTTTTTATTTTATAAAAGAGTATCACTTAAAATGTAGAAAATGCAAAAACATAGGAAGAAGAAAATGAAAATCACCCATGGTTATATCACTTAGATTCAACTACTATTAATTTTTTTTTAATCTTAGTTTTTCTCTGTGAATAGGTGGAGGTTTTATGTAGTTCTATCTATACAGTGCCCTTTTCCCTGGATGGTATTATTGTAAGCAGCCTTATTTGGAGAAGGAAACGGCAACCCACTACCGTATTCTTGCCTGGAGAATCCCGTGGACAGGGGAGCCTGGTGGGCTGCTCTCCATGGGGTCGCACAGAGTTGGACACGACTGAAGCAACTTAGCATGCATGCATGCATTGGAAAAGGAAATGGCAACCCACTCCAGTATTCATACCTGGAGAATCCCAGGGACAGAGGAGCCTGGTGGGCTGCCATCTATGGGGTCACACAGAGTCGGACACAACTGATGCAACTTAGCAGCAGCAGCAAGCAGCCTATTATAAATATTTGTTGAGTACTTTCTAACATTGTGTGAGGACTTTCACAGACATCTCTACTAGAAAATTATCATTTCTCTATTTTGAGAAAACTGAGGTTAAAGAAGTTGTGGCTACTTCAAGGATATATAGTTGGTAAATAATAGAATCAAGATTTCAAACTCAGGTCTTCCAATTTCATGTCCATGTGTTTTTACTGCTTTATTATCAATATATCTGTTGAATTGAACTATGAATATTCTTACTAAAAATTCTTAAGATATTTTTGTGTTTCTTACCTAAATTAAAAATTATTATTATAGATATAAGCCTTCCAAAGTCAGCAGCCATCTGTTATACAGCAGCACTATTGAAGACAAGGACTGTTTCAGATAAGTAAGTAGTTATGAAAACTACAAGTTTAGAAAGACTGCTAAAATCAACATTATGTTTTTCATTCACTGACTTTAAAAATGCTTTTTTCCCCCGACTTCCTGCTGAATAACCCTTAGCTTACAGGGCTTTGAAGATTCTTACTATCTGTAACTGTGGAAACAGCAAGGTTTTTAGAGCTAAGTAAACTTCGGTGCAAATTCAAAGTCTACAACATACCAGCTGTGGAACTTTGGTCAAGTTAATCACTTTGAGTTTCTTCCTCATCTATAAAATAAGAATAATACTATAGGATGGTTGTGTAAAGATTATGTGTGTTAAATGCCCAAAGCATTACTAGGTAGAAAGTATATTCAGTACATAGTAGCTGTGATGGTAATAATGACAAAGTTGTATGGAAGGGAAATAGGTTTCATGTTAATCTGTTCTGAGATTATAATTCTGAATTATTGTGATTTCCTTGTATTTTTGGCTGCCATTAATGAATTTCTCTTTATTCCACAGGTAAGATACTCAGAAACCAACCAAATGGCAAATGTTTTCTTTCACCTTAGATTACTATGCCTTAATGTGAATTAGAATGAAATGTTCACAGACTTTTTCCTCTCCATGAATATTTGCTAAGAATGTAATACTTTCATGAGATCTTCTAGATGTCCCTGTGTAGCATTTCTTATTTCATTACTTTGCCCAAAGTGTGACTCTAATGGACTTCTGAAGGCTTTCTTCACCTTAACTTGAAGATTTCTATCTCTTATGCTGCCTTCTTTTATATGTTGAACCAAAGTGTAGTAGCTATTTGACTTTGACTTTTGCCATCACCAGAAACCTCTGATTCAGGGGCTAGATGACCTTAATTAATTAATTAAAATATTTATGTATTTAAATATTTATTTATTCATTTTGTTCTGTTCTTATAGATTCTCTCCAGAAACAGCCTCCAGAAGAGGGTTAAGCACAGCAGAAATTAATGCTGTGGAAGCAATTCATAGAGCTGTGGAATTTAATCCTCATGTTCCAAAAGTAAGAAATTTTATGATGAAAATACTACTTTTATTTAAGTTAATCAGATTCATAACAGTGTATAGACCAAATTTTGGGTCTCCATAATTTGAGGCAGAATTGTTTTAGTCTGCTATATTTTGATATTTGCCTTAAAGGGGATGTTTAAAAGTATTTAGAAAGGTGGATAGGAGCAGTACTTCACTATAGGGTTTATAATTGCTGTCAAAATAAAATTTGAGATATGTTCACTTAGCTGTTCCTTTTACTATAGTTACAGAGAAGAAATAAAATGAGTTGGCCCTATGAAAGATCATTCATATTTCAGATCATTAAATCAGATTTCCTGTTACTTTAAAAGCTTTTTACATCTAGGCAGATGCCTGGGTTTTAAATGAGGCCTAGGTAGACAAAAACTGAAGACAAATAGATTAAAATAATCAGTGTTAGGAAACAGATGTGGAAGTTTCCGGAAAATTGCTGAATTGATGTTTACTTAGTCCCAGATGAAACTGTACTCATCTCATTTGTCTTTATTTTGTACACCTTGCAAACATATAGATTATTGGTTAATCTATGTGTGTTATCACTCAAGGTGAAATTTTGGGTTTTAAAAACCATGTTCCGAATTAGGAAGTATAGCATATTCAAGAATATGATTTTATTTAAAAATGTAATTGTAGATTCCAGGATAATGTGTTAGTGGAATTTGGAAGCTAGCAAATATTAAAGGATTAACCTCTAAAAGATAATCTCCAAGAAATATGAGTTGTAAGTCTGTTTAGAGTAAATAAAGACAGAGTCAAGAATACTACTGAAATCTAAGAATGAATGTCAACAGTATTTATGCCATTCTCTCATTAAGTGAAACTGGTTCCATAAATTTAAATAAAAATTTTGGTATAAATTGTAATACATAAAAAGCAAAGTGTAAAAAAACAGAATGTGCATCTTAATGATTTATTACAAAGCAAATAAGTGGTAACTACCACTGAAGTCAAGAAACAACATTGTGATTCCCCAGAAACCCACCTACCCTTTTCCAATTACAGCTTCTTCTCTCCTGCCTAAAGGCAACAACTGTTCTTTTTTCTTTATTTTAACTTTTTATTGTGTATTGAGGTTCAATTCAGTTCAGTTCAGTCGCTCAGTTGTGTCCAACTCTTTGTGACCCTATGGACTGCAGCACACCAGGCCTCCCCGTCCATCGCCAGCTCCCGTAATTTACTCAAACTCATGTCCATCGAGTCAGTGATGCCATGCAACCATCTTGTCCTCTGTCATCCCCTTTCCCTCCTGCCTTCAATCTTTCCCAGCGTCGGGGTCTTTTCAAATGAGTCAGTTCTTCGCATCAAGTGACCAAAGTATTGGAGGTTCAGCTTCAATATCAGTCCTTCCAATGAATATTCAGGACTGATTTCCTTTAGGATGAACTGGTTGGATCTCCTTGCAGTCCAAGGGACTCTCAAGAATCTTCTCCAACACCACAGTTCAAAAGTATCAATTCTTCAGCGCTCAGCTTTCTTTATGGTCCAACTCTCACATCTATACATGACTACTGGGAAAACCATAGCTTTGACTATATGGACCCTTGTTGGTAAAGTAATGTCTCTGCTTTTTAATATGCTGTNAGACAAACAATGGACCAAATGCTATGCTCTTAGCATTCTTCACATACAAGACCATTACAAAGTACGAACTTGTTTCTCCAAAAGACATAATTCTTGACCATCCATATACATGAAAGACGAGGACAAAATAAAATGTCCTTATGCCATTTGTCAATGTGTCAGTTCAGTTCAGTTCAGTCACTCAGTCATGTCTGACTCTTTGTGACCCCATGGACTGCAGCTCGCCAGGCTTCCCTGTCCATCACCAACTCCCGGAGCTTACCCAAACTCATGTCCATTGAGTCGGTGATGCCATCCAACCATCTCATCCTCTGTTGTCCCCTTCTCCTCCTGCCTTCAATCTTTCCCAGCATCAGTCTTTTCCAGTGAGTCGGCTCTTCGCATTAGGTGGCCAAAGTATTGGAGTTTCAGCTTCAGTGTCAGTCCTTCCAATGTACTCAGTATTCAGGATTGATTTCCTTTAGGTTTGACTGGTTTGATCTTCTTGCAGTCTAAGGGACTCTCAAGAGTCTTCTCCAACACCTCAGTTCAAAGGCATCAAAATGTACCAATTTACATTCCCATTAATAGTGTATGAGGGTGACCACCATCCTGACATTAATTATGTTCACTTCCTTCTTTTCTTATATTTTTGATCAATACTTTTCCTTTACTGATGGCTTTATAAACCAAATTAAGGAGTGAAAGTGAAAGAAGAAAGTGAAGTCACTCAGTCGTGTCCGACTCTTTGCGACCCCAACGACTGTAGCCTACAGGCTTCTCTGTCCATGGGATTTTCCAGGCAAGAATCCTGGAGTGGGTTGTCATTTCCCTCTCCAGGGGATCTTCCCGACCCAGGGATCAAACCCAGGTCTCCCACATTGCAGACAGACACTTTACCCTCTGAGCCACCAGGGAAGCCCAAATTAAGGAGTGGTCACTGTTATCATTCTCAGGAATAATTTGTGTAAAAATTAGAATTATTTCTGCCTTCAGTGATTGGTAGAATTTGCTGATAAAGCCATCTGATTCTGTATTTTTCTTTGTTAGAAGGATTTCCTTTACAAATTTCATATTAATTACAAATTCAACTACTTAACCATTCCATCTGCTGCTAAGTCACCTCAGTCGTGTCCGACTCTGTGTGACCCCATAGACGGCAGCCCACCAGGCTCCCCCATCCCTGGGATTCTCCAGGCAAGAACACTGGAGTGGGGTGCCATTTCCTTCTCCAAGGCATGAAAGTGAAAAGTGAAAGTGAAGTCGCTCAGTCGTGTCTGACTCTTAGTGACCCCATGGACTGCAACCTACCAGGCTCCTCCATCCATGGGATTTGCCAGGCAAGAATACCATAGCTATTCACATTTTTAATTTTTTCTTATGTTAGTTTTTGGTAAGATATATTTTTCCAGGAATTTATTTCATAATTTTCAAATTTACTGGCATAAAGATTTCAACTTTGTTTGGCCCCATTTTATTTTTTTTATTTCATGTATCTTATTAAAGGTACTTAACTCGTTAATTTTTAGTCTTTCTTCTTCTAGTATATCCATTTAAGTCTATTATCCTCTAATATTAATATAATTTTAACTGCATTGTATAGCATTACTTTTTATATTATTTAGTTCAAAGTATTTTCTAATTTCCTCTATGACTTCCTCTTTGATTAGAGGTATATTTATTCCATTTAAAGATGTATTTAACTTCCAAACATATGAAGATTATCTTCTTATGAATGTTTTCTGGCATAATTGTGTTTTGGCCAGAAAACATACTCTGTGTGATTTCACCTCTTTAAAACATTTTTTGATTCTTGAATTTCTGTTTATTTTTCACATTTCTTACATTATTTGTAGTTTTGAATTCTCTGCCAAAATTTTTAATGTAATCTACTATCTCTTTGAAAATAGTTTAAAGTAGTTATCTTAAATTCTTTCTCTGATAATCCTGATATGGAGAACTTTTCTGTATCTCTTTTTATTGTCTGCCTTTTTCTGTTGCATCATATTCATATTGTCTTTTCCCTTATGCCTTATTTTATTTGAAAAATTGTAGAAATAGCTTAAAACCTCGTAATACTATATTTCTTCAGAGAGAATTTCCTTTGCCCTTAGATGCCTGGAAGAATCACTAGCAGGTCATGATCACCTTAATTCATTTTCAGGGATTGATATTTTATGGTCTACCTGGATGACTAAACTGACTTCAGTAATGAAATATTTAGTTTATTTCTGGTTCATTCTTACTCCTAAGATGCAGCCTTCAGAGCCCCAGTCTAATCCTGAGGGTTCTGCCAGGGCCCTCACTCTTGACAGGCCTTGAACTGCGAATTTTGTTCTTTAGTCTTATGAAACTGATAAAAAAAAAGGCTGAATAGCCTCCTCAGCATCTTTTCCAGAGTTGTCTAATATTGTCCCTATAGTTGTCCCTATATTTTGTAAAAGAAGCCCCAGGTGTGGCTTACTTCTCTGATTTCTGCCTTCGCTGGACTGTGGGGTCATAATTGTTTACCCTTTGTTAATTCTCTAATGTATTTAATTCAACTTTTTAAAATCAACAGCTTTTCTAGTTATCTGGGAGATTTGATTTGAGTTACCCAGTCTTCCATTACTGGAAGCAGAGGTCTAAAAATCCTTTTCTATGAAATGCTCTGCTCTCTCATTCTGCAGAGTGGTTAAGAATGGTTTATAATTTCTATACATTTGTGCCAACAGTTATTGTCTGTCTTTTAACTATAGTTGTCCTAGTAGGTATGAAATGGCATCTCATTGTGATTTTGATTTGCATTTCCTTAATGACTAATGATGTTGAACATCTTTTAATGTGCTTATTGGCTGTTTTTGAAAATTTTTTCAAATAATCTTTCTTGGAATATAACTGATTTACAGTGTTGTGTTACTTTCAGTTGTACAGCAAAGTGAATCAGTTACACATATATCCACTCTTCTTTAGATTCTTTTCCCATACAAGCCATTACAGAACATTGGGTAGAGTACCCCATGCTATACAGTAGGTCCTTATTAGTTACTTATTTTGTATATAGTATATAGTAGTGTATATGTCTCATCCAAATCTCTGAATTTATCCCTCCTCCCTATTTCCCCCGGTAACAATCAGTTTGATTTCCACATCTGTGATTCTTATTTCTGTTTTACAAATAAGTTCATCTGTATCATTTCTTTTTAGATTTTACATATAAGTAATATCATATGACATTTGTCCTTCTCGGTCCGACTTACTTCACTTAGTATGACAATCTCTAGATTCATCCATGTTGCTGCAAATGGCATTATTTCATTCTTTTTTATGGCTGAAATTCCATTGTGTATGTGTACCACATATTCTTTATCCATTCATATGTCAATGAACATGTAGGTTGCTTTCATGTCTTAGCTATTGTAACTAGTACTG